AATAGGTAATCGACCTCCCTAGATTACACTGGTTGGGACATGTGCTACGCATGTCACCAGATGGGTTGCCACGGCGAGCGATGCTTGGCGAGGCAGGTAGCGGTTGGAAAAAAAATGAAGGGCGGTCAAGCTAAGACCTAGCATGAGGGTATGAAAACCCTGACCAGGAGACTGGCTCACATGGGTCCCGTTAGCCTTCCTGGATGGGGACCCAGAGATCATAGTCACCGGTGGTTAGAGACACTGAGCGATATGACTGGGTGTCGGAAACAGTGGCCCTCATGCATCTACTCATTATTCTTGTAACTTGAGTCGATGAAAATGTGCTACCTTTCGCTTAATCTGCTCTCAACATTCTAATCATCATTCTGCTATTTTATCCAAATGGACAACCAAAAGACAGCAACCAGAACCGGCGCAAAAAAGTGCATGATTAATGGTTGTAAGAACTGAACTGAACTTCCAGGTATAATTACATCTTCGGCTTGACAAAAGTCATCCGGTGTGGCTCGATGAGTCAGAGAGGTGTACAAGTCATTATACCACGTCGTGTGGTCTCGTCCGACACTACCGACTCTAAATATAGCCAGCCACTCTTTTCTACTTCTCATAAAATCCAGAAAGATGCACCAAACTTTGAAGTTTGGATGTTTGTTTGACCTCAACAACTGTCGTTTCATCACTCTCACTTCTGTAATTTGGAACGCTTTTGAAACCACTATCTTCGACCAAGTGCGTGTGTTTGCCGAACATGAAGGTTTGATGAATGACGATCAATACAGGTTTCGGTCTCGTTGATCCGTAGGTGGCCCACTGGCTTTTATATCGAATTTCTGGTCAACTGCACTCGATAACTACAGAGAAACTCATGCGGTCTCGCTTGACATTTGAAAGGCGTTCGACCGCAATCGGCCCGAAGGTATGCTGCCAAAATTACCTACTTTCCGTTTCGTAGCAAGCGAATCATCTCCGTCCAAGTCAAAGGGGTCCTACCTTGACTGTTTCCTACGAACGCCGGTATTTTTCAGGGCTCTTTACTTTGGCCCACTCTTCTCTCTTTCCTTCTCTTTTTCTGTCTAAAACCGCTAATCCCATTCGATGATGTCACTCTATTATATTTTCTATCCACGACTTGCCAGACCACTATCGACATCAACCACAATTACAATGTCAATCGTGCTTCTCTTGCCGCCGATATATATATATATATATATTTACAACATCGGCTTGCGGACAAGCACTGTGCGAACGCCACAACAATTATAACATTAATAATCACAGGATATGGGTGGATTGGGATATAGGACAGAGTGAAAGGAGGATGAAACCGATGTCCGACTTATCTTCGCATGCAGCTCTACCAATTACATGCTTCAAAAATGTCTCACCTTCCACTTTCTCTTTAACATGTCTCTCACTCTCCCCAAGTGATTAATGACTCGCGCACCCTTCGTTCAACCATTTCCCTCTTTTGATGATGAATTCGCCGTGTAAATGAGGCGTGAGGTGAAAGGCTGGGAAGTACTGGATAGCTGTTTCGACTTAAGTGGGTCTCAACAGTAGTACCAATCCATCGACCCAACTGGGGATCGAACCCAGAACCTCACAGATAGAACGCAAACATACTACCCACTCGGCCACGGGCAGCTGATCAGGCCATTTCTCATTTTGACTTTACACCATATAGCACAAAAAATCAAATCCTCCATTTCTCCCATAAAATTACCTCTCTCCCGGTTTTATCCATAAATCCTTCTCTTTGCCTGTCTCCTTTTACTACCACACTAATCTCTAGTGCTGCGAGAAAAGTCAGTTTCCTCTTCCGCACCAGGTGTTTATTTACATAAAACTCAAATCCACCCGACACTCGAATGCTGCAGCCAAGTACGAGATAAAACCTCGTACTCAATTCTCTCTTCTCGACCTCGGCATGATCGGAACCGATGGTTAGAGACACTGAGGGATATGGCTGGGTGTCGTCAACAATGGAGTTCGTGCATCTTCTCAGTTTCTCTACCTCATAAGTCCACTGAACTTTTCGATCTTCCCTTCGATTCTACTTTCAACCTTCCTGCTTTCCTCTTGTTGTTCACCCAAATGGGCAGCCAAAAGACAGCAACCAAAAGCGTCGCACGATAGTGGATGCTTAATGGTTGTTTAAACTGAACTGAACTCTCGACTATCCGGTTGATAAACGAACCGTCTGCAGTAGCCTTCCCATCACAGGGCGGTTGTTTGGTTATCTCTTTTCTGCCATTACTTTTGCTATGTTCTGCTCCTATGACTTTGTACTTTTCTCGTCCATTTGGTTAGTCCCATCAGGTCTCTGCCCCTCTCCTCCGAAAGACTGAAATTGTGGTCCACGGTTTCCATCTCCAACGACTTATTATCTTATTGTTTTCAAAGGCAGAATGAATAAATTGGTTCTCAACAGAGTGCTCCCCGCAACCCTTCTCTCTTGTAGTGTCTCTGACTACGGGTTTTACTTCTTGCGCTGTAACTCAATTATTGTGCAGTAAAAACGGACAAAATGATGGAGTAGACGCAATGAAGTTAACTAGCAACACGGATTTTAAGCAAAATAACTGTCCAAACAATTAAGGCAAACCATTTCATTCAATTCAACATGTTACGTGAGGAAAACAGACGTCACACTTACCACAGACCGCGTTTGAAAATCCCAAGCTAGAGAGGCTCAGCAAAATGGAAAAATCACTCCAATTCTGACAAGGAGTTTCCAGAGAACGCGACTTATCGAGGGGTTTTGAGGTGACCGGGTGATTTTTACTGTCTACCACTGGGGACTCTACATTAATGGATGTTTGAGGTTGTGGTTGTTGTTGTAAACTGCTCTCTAAAAGATCCGCTAAGTGTCCGTATTGTTCACGCAAGGCAGAACAGAAGGCAGCAAAAACCGGTGAGTCCAACGGACGTCGAAGTAAGCATGTGACCAGAGAACGAACACCAGCAGCTCTTCCTTTCTGTTGTGCTGTCGTGGTAATGGTTTCATAATCCGTGGGTGTTAAACAAGACGGAGTGGTAGCAATCAAATGATCCATCACATCAAATACATCCAAATCTGCAACCAGATTTGGAAGATTGTATAATATTGCACGTTGCTGAACGGGAGTAAGCATTTCAACGGCGAATTCACCTGCGGATGCACTAGAATAGATGAAACAACTCAGATTGTTCGAAAAAAACGAACTGGGGAAATCAGAATGTAAATTTTCCAAAAAAAAACAAAGACCTATGTAGTCTTTCCCGGTTTAGTTTAGCAAAAGAGACAATGTGGTAACATTAGTGCGCTAAAACAGCCGAAGAGACAAGCTTCCTCGAAAAAGAAAACTAAAGATTCGGGGCATCTTTAAAATTCATCCTTGGGAGCAGATGGCAAGATGCCCGCATAACTATACATCATTGCACAGCGAAATACAGTGAAGCCAACTTCACTGATCGCTGCTAAACTCGCAATACATACAAAGTTGATGGTAATATATATATATATTACTATATATGAAGTGAACAGGAATGGGACTTATTTTGAAGGAGGGGGGAGAAATTTCTCCACTTAAGAGGACAGTTATGTGCACAATTAGATTGTACAATTTAACTGTGGACATATACCGTTTCAAGCACTCTGGCCTGATAAGGAATGACAACAAGAAAGCCACTGCTGTCGGTTCTCTGCCATTTACTTAAGTGTATTTCGGAGCTCAACCTGGAGGGTGTACGCCCTCACGTGATAAACCTACTCTAAAAACAGTTGTTCATTTTTATGCCTCATCTCGAAGTCACCTACTTTGTTCCACCGCATTTCTTCTAGCACGTGTAGTAAATATGTGAAGATCCTATTTTGTTT